CAAATAGGCTATATTGACAATTCAGGACTCTGACCAGCAGTGCAATGGCAGATAACTCAAGGTATGCCCTTATTTTAAGTGCATAACAGGACAACTTAAAAATAGTGAGCAACTGGACATGCATGCCTTCCTTCCAGCCTTAAGCTTCCCATGGAGAAGCCCTGGAGAAACAGAGCTCTTCTTGCAGCAGTGGAGTTGAGTAAGTGGGACAGAGCAAGGCTGCCTCGGGGATATAGAGGCCCCTGAGTGGGTGGGGAGAGATCCCCAGTGGGGTCTCAGGGCTGGGTTTCACACACAGGTGCTGGCAGACAGGGCCCCTGGGTACTCGGCTCTCTCAGCACCTGTGAACCCTGTGCTTTGAAAGGCTAGATTAGGGTACAGCATGTCTTCAGGAATGCATTTCTGGAAGTTATGAAATGTTTTTGGAATATATTTATGCATTTCCCCCTTTGAAAGTGAGGTGGGGAGCGGGAGGAGGTAATGTTTTGGGATGCTGTACTAAAAACCTGAGGCTAGCCAGGTGTAATGAAGTTTATGATGTCTGCCTGAAGGTGTTTGCAACCTACAGTGGCAGCTGCGAGGGGCAGATTGCAGCTTTCATCTCACCCGCATGCGGATGAGTTCAGTGGGAGAGAGGTCCTGCAGCCGTGACTCTCTTAAGCCCCCACGCTTCATTTTTGTCTCAGCCTGGCTTCATCTCTGACCTGAACTTTGCCCTGAGCCCTCAACTAGGTCCCCCAGCTATGGCCCAGGAGAGGGGTTTCTTGTAGCCCTGTTTTCTTGGCACTCTGCCTGGGGCAGTCCCTATGCAGCCACATCCCTGTGGGCCCTTGGGCTATCTCATTTGTCCTGGCTCTGGGTTTATGCTGAGCCAAGGGCATCCATAGCAGCCCAAGGGAGTGGTCACAGCACCAAGCCTGATAGAGCTCAAGAAGTGACTGGGCAATGCTCTTGGGCACATGATGTAACTCTTTGGGATGGTGCTGGGCCAGGAGTTGGACTTGATGATCCTTGTGGGTCCCTTCCAACTCAGCACATTCTGTGTGTGATCCCTTGCTCTTATGGGAGATGGCACAAGACTACCTTGATGCTACTTTGTAATGGGGGATGAAGGGATTGCTGCTGTTCCTCCTCCTGTTCCATGCCAGTGGGGGGATGATAGGGATCACAGTATGAAATAGGGCACTGGGGGTGACTGTCATGGCATATGTGGCCTTTGTATTGATGTGACCCAGATTTGTAGGGTTTGGCTTCTACGCTATTTTGTTTCTTGATGGTGAGCTGAGACAGGGGATTCAGACTATCTTCTCTCCTGAGGTCCCTGTGGGTCACGTTATTTATGGTCTTTATTAAGAAAGTAAGCCCCAAAATCTCCCTCCCTGTCCCCACAAAATGAAGTCATGGCTCCATTGGACAGACTTGAAATTATTTTTCTTGACTTATTTTTCTTGACTTATTTTTCTAAGGTTCTGAGGCTCAATTTCCCACTTCTCTGATAGCATCCTTGGAAGAAATGCAGCCGAACTCTAGGTCATATCAGCTTTGTGTTGTTGACTAAAAGATATGATTTTACCTGTTAAAACAGCATTCAAAAGGCCATTAGTGGAAGTGATGATTGGGAAAGTAATCTTTTGGGAAACCTTCTGGTTGTGGGGGCAGGCATAGCACTTTTTGGAGGAGGGAAGAGCCTCAAGACAGATTTTTTTAGAAGTGTATTTACATTTCCAGGAAAACCTCACAATCACTTGATCTTTCACTTACTCTAGTTCACAGTGTTTTTAAAGCAGAGATGGTGCTCTGTACCTCCCCCCCTTCTTCTGTGCGTGTGCGCACATGGGTGTTTCCGCAAGTGTTGTGTTAAGAAGCAATTGGCATTTGCTGACTTTTTGCATCTGAAGCTGCTTCTTTTGGACATGTGAACTGACTCTGTGCACCCTGGCATGTGCCTGGCCCTGACTGACCCTTCATGCACAGCCCTGTGTGCCCAGGGTACAAAGGCAAATGTCAAATGTGGTGCCAAGGTAGAGGGGCTGCAGTGGAGTTTCCCCTGCGCAGGCACTCCCGTCTCCATCATGTGTGATGCCCTTCCACATAACCCTAACAGAAGGCTGCCTGTCAGCTGCAGGCCTGGGGTGGGCAGGATCCTTACTTTCTATGATTTCCTTGCATTAAAAACAGAGGAAAAGGGCAATTTCACCATCTTGCCTGGCTAATGATGTGGTCGGTAGCTGGCTCTGTTTAGGCAGGGCTGCATCCCACGCCTTCCCAGGTGCATACCCACATGGTCTTGAGTGAGCATTTTGTAGGAAGGTCCTGTGGGGGAAGATGTATGGACATATGTATTTCAGTGGCCCAGTTTATTCCATTGTGTTTTATTTGGCTGGTTTGACTCCTCCTCTCTTCCCTCATGTTTTCCCAAATGCTAGGAAGGGCCCGCATTTTTCTTTGCTGTGTATGTTTGGCATATGTGTTTCAAATTACTTTGGCAGGCTTTTAAAAACAAGGCTTGAGCTTCTGTGAGTATTCTAAAGTTTTTTCCCCTTACAGATAATAGTATTGAAAGATACATACTGTTGGTTGCTTGGATAGTAAAACTTACACAGAGAAGGCGATTTACTCTTCAGTGTCTCAGCCATGTATCTTGATTTAATTATTCAGTTAGCTTCTCATGAAATACAGGCACATGGTTTAATAAAAAAAATAAAAGTAAGCATTCTATCTGGCCATCTTCAATAAAGATGGTGTTGTTTTGAATATGTTAAAAATAACAAAACTCTGTTGCAGGGATTATGATAAAGGGGATGCAATATGTGTGTGCATGTTTGGTTGCACAAAAATGAGGCAAATAGCTGAAGCATGCTGTTAGAATTAAGGGCCAGCTCAAGAAATCCAGGTGCCCTTTGGTTTCAGTGCACCCAAGCTCAAGAATGAACCTCAAAGTCTGCTCATTAAAGAACTCTTCTCTGTTTTGAAGCCCATCCTTTTTCTTTTTTTTCTTTTAAAACTCTTGAGCAACGAAGCATACATTTCAAATGTTTTTTTTCCAGAGCTATCTGAAACTGGCTTTCTTTGTTCACTCCAGCTGTCAGCAGATTTCAAGGTATGTGTCTCTGTGTTTGAAGAAGTTATCATAGATATTGGTGACAGCTGGGCTTTGAAATGTTCTTTGCAGTCAACACAAAGTACATGAAGAGTGAGTCATGAACATTTACAGACCATACTTTGCTTCATATGTAAGTCTTCTGAGAGTGAGCCTGCCTAATTGAGCTGGGGAAGCTCATGACTTCACCATGGCCCTCAAAAAATAATCCTGTTGCTAAACTTAAGGATCTGAGCAATGCTTTTTATGATGCTAGATTCAATTAATCTATCAAATTAGGATTTTCATGTTTTCTGTCACTGCATGGGTCCAAAGTAGCGTAATTTCCACCCCTCAGGGGCTTCCAAGGGTATCTTTTGTTTTTTGCAGTTTTAGTTATTTAAGTTAGAAAACATGAGGCTTTTCATTTTGAAGGTAGGACTTTCCAATTATGAAGTTCAGTAATTTTTTTTTTTTTCCCCATTACTAATTTAATGCACTGTACATTCCTGAGCAAGGTAACTGAATGCAGCAAATTATGTTTAATCACACAGAATTAGAGAAGTTTGTAATTTGTGTTTGTAGATGCTGTGTCTGCTCCAGGTGTAAACTGAACCACCAGAAGTCGGCAAAGACAAAGCTCTCTGAGCTCTGTGCAGTTATCCTGGACTTGTTTCCATCACATGTGAAAGAAATACTGTTAAAAAAGCTGAAGGTGCACTTAGCACTCTTGGATATAACAAAAGTTTATCACTGACAAAGTGTCCTTTCTTTTATCCTTCTCAGGATTTTCAGAATGTTTTACAAAAATCAGCTTTTGTTTGACTTTCTGGGCATTGGAAGAATCTCTAATGCCGTTCACAGGGTTGAATACCTAGACTCCACAAATTTGCTAGAGCTTAGTGGCTTCAGTTCATGGTGCATGGTTCAGCTTTACAGACATGTACTTTAAAATTTCCTGTCTTCAGACTGGAATGCCTTCTTATGTTGATTTTCTTCCAAGGTTATACAAATGTACACGATACAATTGAGAAAACTCTACAATGTATAATAATGCTGCATAAAAATGAATAATAAATGTAGGAAGAAGAAATAAATGGAAGGAGAACATATTTTCATGAGACTGAACTTGCATGAGTGATGTACAACTATGGAAGTTACTGTACCTAATTTTAGCTACCATGTTGAGTCTTTGCTAACTGTTTGCTTAGGAGGGTTTGAGTCTTGGTCTTACCTTTTGTCTGTTGGAACTGCAATCTCCACCCTGCTGTAGCCCATGTTTCCAAGATGGGCAGCAGTGTCTGTGTGTGGGGAGCAGCAGAGGGAACGATGTGAAAGTGGGACAGTTTCAGACACTGCTGCTGCCCAGCACCTTAGCTGGGTGTTGAGACCTGGTTTGGGAAAATAAGTAGATGAACACTCAAAAAAAGTGTGTGAAGCTAGTGAGTGCAGAGAACAGGAAGATATATGTCCGAGAGTGGATTTGTCTTCCACTAAACATAATTCAGCTTCCTTTTGGTAGCATGAATGTTCAATAAATTTTATTTCTTAAGGCTATGTGTTAAGAGCACATTCCAGGTTGTGTTCCTGTTTAAAAATTTTTTTAGTGAGGAAGCATCCTGACTGAAATTTGAACTTCCTCCAGTGACAAAAGAGCTTGTAGTGCCTAAATGGGATTTATTGTAATTGAACAGGAAAAGCCTTGAAATATAAGACTATGTAGTTGTGTAAAAGCATTGTATTTTCTGTCATCTTACACTCATTTGACATTGAATGAGAGCAATGTCTTTGACTTGAGTGTCTGTAAGACATAATATAGTAGGAACAAATTGTTTTAAAGCAGCTATTATAATAATTTAACTTTTTATCAGTGCATAACATAAGGTCACTAAGTGCTTTTGTCCTGTGTTTTTTTATTTCAGGATTGAGTCACAGAGAAATGTGAGCATTTACACTTCTGAAGTAGGTGTGAATGGGACTGAAGGAATTACATGGAGGATTCTGAACTCCCCTTCTTCCTGCTCCGGGAAAGACGGGTGAGTGTATTATGAAATAGTTTATAATTAACTCAGTCCTTGCTTCAGAAGGTTTGTAGTCAAAACAGGAAGATACAATTCAGATGGCTGTATGTAAGAATGGAAGAAATTTCAGATACTACATATACACCTCCTAATTACTAACACAAGCCTTCGGAATTTGCTGTTCCTGTTTAGTAATAAGAGTGTTTCCAATAAAAATTAGTATGAGTTTTCTTTAAATCTCACCCCCTTCCACCCCCACCAACTCTCTGATATAAATGTTCTGTATTTGAAAGGTCTTAAACCAATGTCAAAGAAAGCTGAACTGACAAAATGAATTTTGCCTTTTTTAAACTGATTGAGCAAGGCTGTTACTGGAGAGAAGTGTAAGGTTGAGCTTTATTAGACCCCTGCATGTATTTGTTAGTGAAACAGACAGGTGAGAAACAGCAACAGAAATGTCCATATCACATCTGGGCTGCTCCTGAAGCCTGTTGGAGTGATGATATGTTAGTTCCAGTGGCTGCAAATCCAGTTTGTGTGTCTTCCTGCCTCCCTCCCTTGCTGTATCTCTGACCACAGAAGGGAGGAAAGAAGCTCCAAGGCCAAACCCTGTGGAAGGATAGTTAGGATTTCACTTGGGGTTGTCTTTGGCTCTGCCTGTAGCTATGTGGGGCCATCATTAGAAAAGGGCACATGACTTTTCTGTGGAATTTGCATCCTGATCTTGTAATTGCTTTCAACTTAGCGAGTACCTAGCATACCTCACCTTCAGATAGTGACCAGTGAATAAGATCTGTGAATTTTAGTACAACCTGTTCAAAATGAAAAGATACAAATCCTGTTAGAAAAGCACATGGCGTTTAAACCCTGGCTTTTGGCAGAGGTTTATCACTTCTGTGTCAATACACACAAGACCATGTATGTGGTCCTGTGAATGTACCAGTGCTGAGCAATGCATAGCAGGATGAGTTTTCAATTACAGGTGTTGCTGTCCAGACAGCTCTTTCACCAAGTCATGATACAAGAAAAATTTAAGATCTGGTAAAAATGAACCCTAAAACTGGCAAAGTGACAGCAGAATTTTTGTATTAGTATAAACATTCTTGTAAATCTTGAATTTAGCTTAGATTCAGTCTGTTTAAATTGTGTGCAGGGCTGAAAATTGAGAATGCACCACCCAAAGCAGTTTTGGATTATCTTCTGAGCCTTTTACTCTTGTACATGGGAGCAGGTAACAGCTAAAAGTAATAGATGTGTCTGGACAGCACTCTCAGCTTCAGAGGGCCAGAACCAAGATGATGCCATGCTGCCTACAGCCCTGAAGACAAAGGACATGCTTTGGGTGGTGTAGGGACAAAAGTACTGACTTTTGATATTAATGATATAATGATTTGATATAATAATTATTAATGGGTTGAAGGTGTCAGAGACAATATCTGGGACTTTGCCTGAAGTGGAAGTAGGCAGCAAGTACAAATATATGCTGGAGAGGAGCAGGCTGCAGCGAGGTTCAGGAGTATCCCAGCGCTTGGAGGGGGTAGAAGGCAGCAGAGCAAACAGGGTGTCAGTGGTGTATCAAAAGCATCTGGAGCTCAGTGGGTGAAGGAGGGGAAAAAAAATGGGAATAGTAACTTGTGTGGCTTCTCCAGAATGGAGAGTAGGATGAAAGGATGCAGTGGAGAATGAAGTGGGTGGGAATTTTTCTGTTCAACCATCTACACCAAACTCTTTTTTCCCTCCAGAGATGTTTCTTGGTGGGCTGTATTTGAAACCGAGTAGTAAGGAGTCTTCTCTGCAGATGAGAGAGAGAGGTGAAGAAAAATTCAGGGAACCAAAAATCAGGCCTTTCTGAATGAGGAAAAAGAGCAAAGGGATGAGAACTGTGCAGGCAATAATGAGGAAACAAGTGTTTTAAGGTGAAGTTTTGGAAAGTAATGGGACAGCAGGGATCTTCATCAGGAAATACACAGTGGTAAGACTTGATTTCTTTTCTTTTTTTTTTTACCAGTATGATGTAAATGGCAGCTTTTATTGGAGGAAAGGAAAAACCACTTTTCTCATCAAGGGAAACGTGGAGAAATCTCACTATTATTTGCTTTCTTGTAGAAGGAATGCTTTAATGTAAGTGTGGGAAAGCAATAGAAACATTTTGGTAGTACTTCTTGTATTTTCTATGTTTTGAAGAGGGGGCTTCATATGGTAACACAACCTGAGCTAACCATTAGCCTACAAACTCACCCCTGTGTTCTTGAGGTGCTTTCTGAAAAGATGTTCTGTTTTTCTTCCCTATCTTTCATATACTGACTTGCTTAGAAAGTCATTAGAAAAAGTAAATGTTTCAAAATTTTATTTTGAAGTTTGTTCTAATGAAATCTAGCTATATTCTGGCCTGAATATTCACTGATTGTTGGCAAGATTAAAATGGCTGTAAATGTTTTAAAGATTTGGACTTTGCATAAGTACCTTTTCTCCTGTAGTGGGTAGGGTGTCTGTCTCCTGGCAAAATGTGGCTCCTGCCTGAAACCAGAGCAGATCTGAAGCTGACCTAATAGCTCATAAATTGGCATAGTCTCTCAAAAAGATGATCAGCTTGGCAAGGTATAGGCTGGTCTGTGCTTGTGGTTGTATTAACTTCTACCTTATGTCTGCCTTTTTGTCAGCTACAATTGTGCTTGCAAGGTGTTTGTGGTATATTTGCTTTATCAGGAGGAGACTGGGGGATGTCAGACATGCCAGAAAAGTACCCTCATCTTTCCTCCTTCACTCCCTATGTGGTGTCATATGGAGCTGGGAGTCTCCTATTTTAGCAGTTGCTAAAATATATTGATAAGGTTTGCTTCCAGCAGGGCACTTTTCTCCATTTTTCTCCCCTTGTCTTCCTCCTTCAACCTCTGCCTGGTCTGAGGGCTTTGGGAGCTGGTCCTGGTTTCCCAGGGCCCTGGAAGTGGTAAAAAGGAGGTGGTGCTGACCGAGCTGCAGTACTCAGGGAAGTCTGGGATCCCCTGTGCCATGGAAAAGTGGAGGGAAGGGCATGTCCAGCTGTAGCAATCCTGACCTTTCTGGGAGCATCACACTTATCCCATATGTACTATTCCTGTAGCTGTTCCCACTGTTTGGCAGGGCTGGGGCTTGCAAGGCTGACACCAAAGCAATGTGGCTATGTGTTCGCATTTTTCCACTGCTGGAATCAAGTATTGGAAACTTCCATTTATGCCTGGGAGCTTTTTACTCCTGAGCGTGCTCACTAAGGAGCTTGTCCTCCATATGAATTGCTTGGCCATGTTACTCTGTGTCTGTTTCTAACCTTGTCTATTCATCAATTTTATTTTATTTTTTCAAAACAACTCACAATATAGGTAAAGCAAACATTTTATTGTATCTGTAAAGATGCTGACCTAGCATCAAATGGAAGAGTATGATGAAGTGATAAATGTTTCAAGCCCCTGGCCTTTTATCTCTGATTTTCTTTTTTTTCAAATGTTTCTCAAACTTAAGTGATTGAAAAGTTTTCCAGATCTGATAACTGCAAAGATTTCAAGTGAAACTTTTGGCTTCTATCCCAGTATGAGATCATACAAAGTGATATTAGCTGAATTTGTACCAGAGTTTGAAAAGAAAATGAAAATACGTTACTGTTAGTGTCTCTCAGCTACTTTTCAGCTATGCTGGACAAATATTTTCTCATTGGCTAAGTTCTGAGTACCATTTGAAATGTTTTCAAATATATGTGTGTGTGTGTGTGTGTACATATATATATGTGTATATATGCACATTTTTCTTTGCTAATATTGTATTAATTTATGCTCTTTGGGCCTTTTATCCTTGCTAGCAGGACTCCTGGTATTTCATTTTACATAGAAGTTTTCTAATCTAGTGTTGCAGAGAAATCTCACTACAAGAGAGAGAGGATGTACTGAATTCCTGCTGCTAACCCAGAATAACTTTAAAACAAAATCTCTAACCTGTCTTTTTGTCTGATTTCTCTGGCAGGAGACTTTGAAAGCAATGGTCTTTGTAGGGCTGTGTGTACCTAATAAGGGTAAATGTGTGTCAGCTACACGTGTTTTGTGGATCTCCTTCTATACAGAAATAAAATAAGATAATAATTGCCTTAAGTTAGGCATTTAGATTACTGAACAGGGCTGAACTTCAAGGGCTGAACTTGCAAACCCAAGCAATCGGACGCTAGAAAATTCTACATTTAAAGCTACTCATTCATCCCCTTGGTAAATATTCATTTTGATTGCCTTTAATTAGAGGATTGCGTGCTTCCCCCCTCCCC